TGCCATGCTAGATAATAATCTATAACCTTTTGATCCATACCGGATTTGACTAACTGTTACTGTGCTGCATAGGTCGTAGATTAACCTGCAAGTAAAAATGATGTTATGCAGCCTCGCGCAAGCACATGCGCTCTTGAAAACTATCGTAGTATTGTTGTGCCCGACAAGACAGACAGTAATATCGTTCAGCATTGACTCGTATACCGGCTAGCGCTCGACAGCTGTATCAAGTTTCATTATTGTTCGTTGTTCGTCAGATCTATTGGAGTTCCCATATACAACGCATACGGTCGGGTCGTCAGGACTATTGGCGCAGTTCGGCAGATCTATTGCTAGTACCGGAAATGTTGTTTCCAAAATTATTTTGAAGTTTAAGATTTTAAATTTAGTATTACTAAGCTCTGCCATATTACATAAAATTTTAGAGTAAATTTCTCAAGAGAAATGCGATGATATGCAGTCTGTAAAATTAAATAGAATAAAAAGTCTCTAATTGTAAGACTTTAACTATATTCCGATTAGCAATTATTACTTCTTGCAGTGATGATGAATGATGCCGGTTGTCCAGTGCCTGTATTCACACTAGCATTCGCGCTAATTAGCAACAATTAACCCTTCCAATAAAAAAGGGAGCGCGCTCTTTTTAGTGTAGTGTCGGTATTGTACATCTGCATCTGATACTGCATTCCGGCCGTGCTATTGCCGGCTTGCGCTTAGTAAAAGTATCAAATTTCAATGTAATTTGCCGCTTCGGCTGATCTATTGGAGTACTCATAGGCAAAGTATAGGGTCGGGTCGGCAGAAGTGTGGGAGCAATTCGGCAGATCTATGGGAGGGAAAGTACCACTTTCCTGTCGGGCTCGCCAACAGTCAACAGGTGCACGCGTACAGTCTGTATGCTGAATATGAACGCAAGCACCGGACAACTGGCATTACTGCAAGACGTAATCGACCGGAGAGTATAAAGATCCTCTAAAATCAGCACAAATACAGAATATATCTATATCCGTTACGGAAATTTATTACGGAAGTAACAGCAAATATTAACGCAATTTAGGCCTCAACAAAGCTGCTGCCTGTCAATGCCAACCTGCATTTTTCTAACTAATTATTTTGAACGAAGTTACAAATTATCGAATGGGGCAGTTATTTATTCTATTTAATTTTGACAGACTGTGTAAAATATTGTCTATTGTTCCTAAAGAAGTGCATTCAAAATTTTCGACAGCGTTGCAGAAAAGGTCGATTTACTTAAAATTTTTACATAGATAGATTTACTTAAAATTTTTATATTTTTACCGGATCAGCCGCACAGTTAAACTTAGCATGCGATCCCCAACTTAAAGGAAACCCGAATTTTACAGTTGCTCTTATTCTTTAGATTTTTTCGAGTGCCCATAAACAATACATAGGATCAGGTCATCAGGACTTTTCGTGCAATTCGGCAGATATATTGGGTATTGTATTTAAATAATACTGTTTAATTTTGGATGTCTAAATTTTGCATGGCATCGCCAATTAAAATGACAATATTATGTTGCTTAAACGTTGATTATTTTAAGTAAGTAACGCCTTTTAGTAAACTTTGTTATGTCTTTTACAGCTCCACCAGCGCAGGCATGCAGAATTACATAGTTTGTTTAGTGGCTATTGCCGAATACAGAATTTTACGACGTGAGCGACCTGGTCTTTAATGGTTACCCCCTAACAATTGTAAAATACTAACACAAAAATTACCTCACGTAAGTACGAGTAACAGGATATTCCAATCGCACATGTTTGCCATGCATCACAAAGTTCGTGATAATTTTTAAGGGAAACTGTCTAAGGATAATGTACGTACATCATCCAAAGTTTTTTGGCGTAAACATTATGGGTTTTATCATTTTTGGAAAGAAAAAATATATTCAATAATTTACTACGTTTTGCGATGATGTCTGTGTATAAAATGATAAATCCACACTCGCTGGTCAGCAGAAACGCTTCTCTGTACTGATCAGCCATGGCGGAGGAACGCGCGTGCTTCTCTCTCTTTACCGGCGATACAATCTGCTTAGGCGCCGGTATAATTACTATGATGTACTGTATCTCATTTTGCAGCCCATTGCCGGCTGGCGCTCGACAAAAGTATCAAATTTCACTGTTCCGCCGCTTCGGCTGATCTATTGGAGTACTCATAAACGAAGCATAGGGTCGGGTCGGCAGAAGTGTGGGTGCAATTCGGCAGATCTATGGGAGAAAAACCACTTTCCTGCCGGTCTCGCCAACAGTCAACAGGCCAACATGTCTGCCGGCTACAACTGTGGACCCGGTGAATGTATTTGGTTGTTAACCGATACAGCATCGCGTTTAAGCGCAAGCCGTATATCAGGGGCGTGCTTCCTAGATCTGGACGCACGCCACCGCGGTTGTATTTTAAACGCGCCTTGTTCTTCTTTTTTTGGTACTTTGTGAAATGGCGAAACACAATATGACCTTACAAAATCTGTATGTGGCGCTTACTTGCGCACTTGCGCATGACCAGTAATGCTATCAACACTTCATATAAAGATTGACATTTTAAAGAATCACACAGTTGACCAACCGCTTTTAACCGCTTATTAAGTGTGCCACATTGTGTGCGGCACTTGCCAGATTTTATCGTTTGCCAGTTGCCAGAGTCTCCAGGTTTTATCGCTCGCCATGCCATTGGCAGTGCCAGGTGCCACTGCCAGGTTTTACACCCTGCCATGAAAAACAGCGCCAAAAAGAGTTTGGGCCTAAGAACTTCCGAACCGCGTGAGTTGTACATAGTATATTAATAGTCAGCGAGCTCACGAATTTAACAAAGAGGTCCGTGCAGATACCGCTCGCAGCAGAACGATCAATGGTTAAGCTGCCAAACATTAATTGCTAACTTTCCGCTGTAAAATCGATTGTGGTTTATTTCTGTTGTTTACGGCCTATCCGCCTATGACAGCGCTTAATTGTTAACAGAACTAATTTAGTATAAGAATAGTTAGAATTTTAAACTGCGATATGTGGCTAAATTGGTAAATTTCTTATGCAACGTTTGCAGCCGCAGACACAATGGTGTACGTGTGCAGGGCAGTTTGCAGTGCCGAAACTAATGGAAGTTGGCGATGTTACGCTAACTTCGTTTAACGCGGTGAGAGAAACGCCGGCCAGACATGATTTCTCATTTATTTAGAACAGCGATGAATAGTGGAAATCATCATTCTTCAACTTGACCTGCTGGACAATCATATCATTATCGGACTTAGCCGAATCCATTATGCGCACCAGCGTACTGCCTGCCTGTTCCTATCTCGCACCACCTGCCTGTTTACTCAAGGATCCGGCTGGGGATGGCCTGATTCTTAGTTTGCGCTGTATCGCTTGATGTTAACTTGTCATTTTAACTTTGTGACGCGCACCGAATTGTACAAGTGGAAATTATTTTGCTATAAGCGTTACACGTGACCTTTGGAATTTAAGATCACCCGCCTTCCAACCCTTTGTTCTACTGCTATTGTACTTAACGTTTATAATGTCGGCCTTAAGCTACGTTTTCTTTCTGAGGAAGTTTATTAAAGGTCTGTCCTCACTCGCGCAGCTCTCTTGCACAATGGTACGCATAGAACCGCACCAAAAGTAGCCGCACACGCAACATCCTGGCCACGAATCAGGATTGAACTCCCTGGCCACGAATCAGGGAGTACACCTGGCCACGCATCAGGTGTTAGAATCCGCAGTCGCTCTCAAAAACGCCCCTTCCGGTGACCGTGCATATTCTGACGTTTCCACGAGACTCCGCTGCCGGGCTGAGGAAGGCCAATTGCCCCAACACCCGTCGGCGTTTCTCGATCGTTGTCGTTAACTATGTACTATATAAATGCTAGTAGCTGAACATATTCACTTTTATTACGCTGTCACTAGCATTGATGTGGTTCTGATTTCTTCACGCACAGTAATAGCGAATTTGTATACAGACCGCTAAAATTATTCGAAGAGTCCCAGCAGCTGCCAACTAGTATTAATAAAGCAGATTAAAGGTGAACTAGGACATTAAAAATCAGAAAAAGTCTTAAGGTTTTCAGTACAAAAAAGGTATAAATTAACCGAAGTAGTTAATAAAATGTTAAAGAAAAGCATTTTCATAAGAATTGATTATATTATTTATACTAGCCAGTTAGTCCCGAGAATAGTGAGTCCAGGCCGGTTTTGCGGAGAGTCAACGGTATTTACAAGCTCGTCCGGAAAGATAAACAAAGATGTAGTATACCCGGTCTCGGGGAAGTTAATTTCACTGAAAGATACAAGTAAGACTTTTTTTCAGTATGCTATACACATGCAAGTATGTTGCACATGTACATATAAGTATATCGCACCTGCCCTTGGTACCTACTCTTTATTCGATGAACATGATCAATACTTCTCAGAGTACAATTCTTGCATTTTTTGTTTTAATGACAATGCAGATACAGACTGCGTGTAATATTCATAAATTAACCCAACCTAAAAGACAGAGGATGAAAGCAATGTAAGCGAAAATCACGATTTCCACATGCCACGCACGCTAGACATCTGGTTGAATGGCAAAAGCTTGGGGTAATACTTGTATGCCCTTGGCCTCTTGTATATTGAACATGTACATGTCGTGCATTATGTACATGACTGTGGTTTTAACATAATTGACAACATACCGGAAAACCAATAATATGTACATGTACATTCAAGTTCATGATTCCGTTGCGTGTTCCTTGTGCGTTTTAAGTTTCAGTAAATGTACCGTAGCTGAGCTTGGGTAGCCGGCTAACCGGAGGTCGATAATTGCGGTGCCGTTTGCATTCCACTCATCGGCAATCTTGCTGCTAACTGCACGACGATCGATTGCTTGCTTCCCCGTATTCTCCTGCAGCATCCAACTGGCGCACATGGTCTATGTTAAACGAGAAGCACTAACGAAGGGCACTGTACAACAGCTCTTTGTGAGTCAAAGAGATCCACGTTAACTTTCACAACCATACACCAGCCAATGGTTCGCTGCATTCCTCCATGGCAGAAATGCGGCCAAAATTTCGTGTTTTCTGTGCAATAATGTGCAGCCTACAACGTCAACTCGCGTATCTTTGGCCAAAGAGCTGCTGAATTTTTTGCTGTTATACGATCTTCTTGAAAGTCTGGAGTAATTTCCTTGCGCGTCCTGTTTTTATACTGTAATACTGTCATTCCTTCATATTTTATAATGTTCTGTTGCTGGCAAACTCCCGAACTCCCTCTCGACATCGAGTATCCATCGGATTCTCGCTATAGTCCATACTGTAAAGAGTACGCGAGATTGTCGCATAATTTATATGTGAAGTATTTGCTGCCAAACCATGGATTCGTCCGCAATATGGTGCTTTCTCCGTTGTGCGCTGAGATCGCGCTGCTCATGCTGCATGCCGGTGCTGAAGATGAGGCAAAACAGGAAATTGCGGAATTGCTAGGTGCAGATCCAGTTCTGCTAGCGGAGAGATTGTGTTCTGACTTGTCCATTCTAAAGATAAGAGAAGACCACGACTGCCAGCCTGATAATCCCGAGGGTAATAATTACTACAGATACTTAGGCCAAATCAATCCTCGAGTTTCTAACATTTCTTACAGATTTCAGGTTCGCGTGCGTAGTCATTTTAAGGGATTTGTGTTACATGAGACCAAGTTACCCTGGCACTGTTGTACACGACCTTGGTAACCATACCGATACGGTGTAGAGAAAAATGGACGGATAATCTTCGAAATTTGCATTTAAGTGAGCATTATTGTGCAGAATGTTTGTACATAAGCGGAAGTTCCAAGATTTCCTCAATTGGTAAAACAATATATTCACTTTTATGTAAAATGTATTTAAAATTTGAAAAGAACGCCCGAACCGTAGCCCGGTGTGAGAAAGCTCTTCATAAGATTGTGCGTTTAAGTGCAAAATTCGGAGTGGATCTGTCAATCGCGAGCACACCCGGACAATTGCGAGTGTGACATTTCGCCGCACTCAAACTCGACGCGCGACTTTTCGCCGCGAAGACATTTCGTCGCCGGATATTCGGACACTTGGATACTTCGGTTTGGGACTTTATGTTTTGAGACATTTTAACTGTGCGACATTTCGACGCAAGACGTCTGGTCGCGGACAATTCGTCTTGGGACTTTTCGAACGATGCTACTAATCCCCGCAAAATAATTAGCCGCGCTTAATTTTCACTAGTTTTTTTCAGTTTTTTTAGGCTTGTTCTTAGTTTTTCTTCTTAGGTTTCTTAGTCCTTCTTAAACTTTCTTAGGTCGCCCTATTTTTTCCTAGGTTTTCTTAGGTTTCTTAGGTTTTTTTTAGGTTTTTTAGGATTCTTAGGATTTCTTAGGTTGTTCGTTTGGTCTTGTTTTCCAGTTTTAACTTTTCTGACTCTTTTAGTTAGCTGAGTAAATCATTTATCTGAAATCCGCAATGTCGCTTCGTCGAGATGTCCTTGCGTCGAAACGGCTTTGCGACGGAAAGTCTCGCGGCGTGAAGACCTACCGACGAAATGTCCTGTGACGAAACGGCCGCCCGGCGAGATGGCCTTGCGGTGAAATGTTTGCGACCAAAAGGCCTGCAACTAGTTGTCCGCGGCGAAATGTCGGGGTGCCATCGCGAGACCTCAGGCGCAGTTGTTCACTTTTGAATATTTCGGAATTTTAATTGATCTAGTAACTCTGCAACCGTACCGCAAGAACTGTTTTAACGTGGTTGATAATCGCACAAATCATTTAGCTACAGAATCTTAAAATGAGGATAAGAGTTCGGGTTGCGCGAAAGTAAAAGTTTTTTAAAGAACATGAATTTGGTGCGATGTGCCGATACGCCTGTGTTAATGGAATAATAGAATTTTATTTTTCCTAATTTCTGAAACTTGTAGGAATAAACGAAAATTTCCGTCTGTATTTGGCCAACTCGATACTGTTACCGGATGGTAATCGCTGCATCCACGACTTCGACAAATTCAAAATCCGCTCTTATCTCCTGCCGCTGATGGTCACCGGCGATAAGGAGAGTGTCACAGCGTTCATAAACGAACGCACAGTGGGACATGTGTGCGACGTAGGACTGTCGCGCGATGCACCGCCAGTTCCGGCATTCATCAGCACGCTGCATTTCCGCTCCAACTGGTATCGTCCCTTCAAAGAGGACCGCACTTTTAGGATGGAGTTTGTCACGGCTGACAATCGCCGCGTAGAAGTGGACACGATGCACGGGATACTCAAGGTCCCCTGCTGGGTTCCTGAGGGAATGGGCGGAGCCAAGTTTTTGGAAATACCTTTTGAAGAACATTACTGGAGCGCGATGTTTATAATGCCGGCAGCAGCTCGGAAGACGTGGCGCGGGGAGACAAAACCGCAGACAATGAGCGAACTGGTTAATCTTCTGACACCAAGGAAACTGGCCGCGGCCATCCGACGAATGGAATTTCACAAAATCAACGAAGTGACGGTACAGATACCAAAATTTCGCGTGGAGCGGAATATAGAATTGCAGGAAGCGCTGACCGAGCTGGGTTTTCGGACGCCGTTACACTGTGGCGTCGATCAGCCGCGTTCGCACGTAGCGAGCATAATGCAGCATGTTAGTTTCGGTATGTAAACTGCCCAGAACCGAAGCACCGGCTTGCGATTAGCCTTCAGCAATTAAAGAAGCTAGTTTTGCAATCATTGCTTAAGAACTTCTAAGATTCTGGCTTTAGAATTATTGTTTAAGGAACCTCAGAAAAGAACCTTCATTAATTTTAAAGAAGTTACAACTTTTCTGGCGAGAAATAAAATTGTTTTGTTTAGCCGTAGATGAACGGGGAGTCGGCAGTGCACTTCCCGTCAAACCAAACCGACCGATCCTAGAAACCATGGAACTATGTCAAGTTTGGCATGCGGAGTTCGTTGCCAATCGGCCATTTATCTTCCTGGTATATCAATGCCTCAGCGGTCATATTGCCTACATGGGACATGTTGCCGACCCGACTGCAGTTTAGACTGTCTAGTGTACAGTGGTAATAGATTATTACTGTGGTCGAGGGCCAAGCAAATGGCTACCGCAATCAGAATTTATACACTGCGTTATCTAGTTTCAACCAAACTCTTAAACCTGTTTTTTTCGTTTTATATAAATTCAGTCCTAGTGGCAAGTGTGTTGAACTGTTTTTATAATGGTTTCTTAGGTTTCTTAGGTATACCAATTACTGCGATTTTTCATAATGTTGCGTGTGTAGCACTTTATTTCCATGCCAAAGTTTTTGACTGATTCAGATCCTGTGTGACTTAAGCAACACGATAGGGATAATGGTGTCAAAGTGTTACTAGTTTGTATGCATCGCGCTTTTGTAAATACAAGCTCGCTTTCTAAACAGGCAATAAACTAGCGTACGAACCAACACGTGCGAAGTTGCGAACTGACTATTCTTACCGACCATCGGCGATGTTTGTTAACACCAAAATCAATTACCTATGCAACTATCTCCTCGTATGGTAAACACTATGATACGTGAATGAGCGATGGTCGTTTAAGTGAAACATCTGAGGTATCAAACTCCATAAACCGATTTCTTTCCCGTTATTTTCTTTTCCCGATTAAGCTAAGGTTTGCGCTTTACAAAGTACTTGAAATTTTTAAAACTTTTTCCTCTTTTTTGCAATTGTAATAATGGCTGTTAATAAACTATGCGCCAGGTCGTGGCAGGAACTTACTGTTTCGGGTGTTTCATTTAAACGACCATACGAGTATGTTGTATCTTGTTGGCAACAGACCTTTCCTTCCCAGTTTATTTTATTTATTTGACCGAGCGCTGGGGATCTCGCTGGGGATCTGATTATAAGGGCCGTCACCTGATACTCGGGCAAACATGGCCAAGAAAGCCAGCTGCAATGCCCCTGATCGCGATGATTATGACCCTTTTCCATTGAGAATTTCACCAGCCTATTCTCTGATGGGACGGCCAAGGTCCAATGGTCCTTTGGAAGGCTGATCCCTTATTTACGAAAGATGATCCCGGCCATTGTTAATGATCTGGAGAACGTACAAACGTACCCACTTTATCACGAGGATCTTAACTTTCTGATCACCAAGTGCATCAATACTAGGCAATTGTCCTTAAATTATTAAACACGTTTTTCCGTACCAAAGATTGGTGGCGTAGACCGCACTGTGCACATCTGTCAGCCACCAGGGTTACGAGTACACCATATTGTGTTACGAGTACAAACCATACTGTGTTACGAGTACAAACAAAAAAACTCGTACAAACGGTGACTCGTTGCTGCTGTGAGCCATGGCTGCACTCAAATGGGCACGCTTCGACCGTAGCAATAGCCATAGCCGTATCCTTTGGTCTTGGACCGAATGACGGTCCGAATCGTCATCAGCTGCGGTTTCAAAGCTACGGCACGGTCAATGCAGAGCTGGCATTGACCGTAGAAAAGACAAAATACGGTCGTCCTTTTTCTCCATCTGCCTTCGCAATCATATACAGTTTTATACATCTACCTACAGGGAGTAAAGTCTTGAAATTTTCAGAAAAGTTTGAAGATATTTCTCAAAAATGTAATTATTAATCGTTTTCTGTTTTTAAAATGGTTTCACAGAAAATCGTCTGGTGATCACGCAAGCGACCATTTTAGCGCAACAAATCAGTACTATGTACAAATCGCATCATGCCCGCTCCGCGTCCGATTACTTCGGCCGCGTTACATTTCGGCCGCACAGGTTCACTTCGGCCAACGTTCATTTCGGCCGTGGCTCATTTCGCTCGTTTCGGCCAATGGATGTTTCGGCCATCATAGCTTTTCTTGGGTTTCCTACGTTTTCTAGGTTTTTCCTAAATTTCCTTATGTACCGTATTCTTATGGGTTTTTTAGGTTTCTTAGGTTTTCTTAGATTTTTTAGGGTTGCTTAGGTTTCTCAGGTTTCATTAGGTTTCTTAGGTTTCTTAGGTTTCCTTAGGTTTCTTTGTTTTCTTAGGTTTCTTATGTTTCTCAGGTGTCCTTAGGTTTCTTTGGTATCTTTGGCCTTCTTAGGTCATCTTGGATTTATTATGATTTCTTCGGTATTCTTTGGTTTTAGTATGTTTTCATATGTATTTTTAGGTTATCCTTAGGTTATTTAGGATGTAAAGATTTAATCTCGGTTTGTGTTTTTCCCAAGGTGTGGTACGGTTAGGTTTGCAGTACTCTCCCGTGACGGCAGACGTCGTGACTTCGCATAATCGGCTTTATGATGGTCGACGTTGTGGTAATCAGAGCAATCGGGCGAGGGAGACGTGATCGTGAGATTCGTGACAGTAACACTACAAAAACTGTTAAAACAAATTGTTCGTGCAGAATAAAATTGAAACAGAACAAAATGCTGCGTATAACGATAACTTGGCTAGTTACATGGTGCTGATTAAAAGTTTTGGTAAACCATATTTACGTCGAAATGTACTATACCCGATGTGAATTACGGTCGAAATAAACGACGGCCGAAATGAGCGCGGCCGAAAATGAAATGAAAACGGCCGAAGTGATCGGTAGCCACTGATTTTAGGTTTGTAACAAAAACAAATCCAAGACAACCTTTCGCTTTGTCTTGGTGCCCCGTTAGCAGCTTTCGGTCGCAACATACTGAAATTTTTGGACAGCAGACTTGGGAACTAACACGGTCTTCATAATCTCTCGTTTCGTATAAATTTATTTGGCGCAAATCAAAAATTAATGAAAAAATTCCCTTCTGCAATATTCCGCATCGTTCTACCTGACATCCCATCTGATTTTTCTGCTTTTCAATTTACTTTTAATTAAAAGTCCTTTTTTCGCATACCGGGAAAGACCGACCTTTATGCTAACTCTTAGGTCATTATTGCGACAGTAAGGTAAATTCAAAGGGCTTTTGTGCAAAGACTTTGCCAACCCCAGTTTTTAGGCAGCTTTGACGTACTGCACTTTGTAGACCGAAGGTTTTGCATGACTGTAAATTTTGGGGGAAGCGGTTTTTCCCGAATGTGAATTACGGGGGCGGACGGTTTTGCTGGAGAGCGTGTACTGGAGATGGGGATACTTATGTATTTATATGTTGACCCATTTGTCTAACATCGACCCATTTGTCCCATTTAGAAATTAGACCCATTATTAGCTACATAACTTGCAGTGAAAACGGTGTCGGACAAAAAGTTACTGATTTCAAATCGTTCAACTGATAAAATGGTAGCATCGCGAATGCTGAAGAAACAAGATTGTTCGCTTACACCAGTAATCTTTTGTACCAAACGCAGCGCGAAAAATTTTTGAAAAAAAAATAAACACGCGCAAATAAACACAGATATAAGGGCGCGCAAGATTCAAGAATAAATCGCAACAGAAGTTAAAGGCTAAGCATTTGCATGCGCTCTACTCTTGTCGCGGCTTGTCTGCGGTTAATAGATACAGAACAAGATCTCCGAATTTTAACCATTAATAAAGAAATTACTGCAAGTAGGAAAATTGTCCCAATAACGAGAAAATAAATGGGTTCCACGGATTCTTTGTCGCCTTTTAGAAATGAAGTGGCTGGCTCGTTTTCTGGTGCTATCTCATAGGAGCTGTTCAGTTCGTTGAGACCCACGGTATCCCGTACCCAGTTATTAATGGCGGCCAGCTGGTTATCCACATATTCTGCCGGATAATCTTCAACCATGCACAAGCTGGAAAAATTATTGAAAAGTCAATTCGTAATAGCTATTTTGCATTGCATTATAGCATACATACTTTTTTGAAAATGTAGCGAATGCATAGAAACGATCATCCTCCGCCTTGCAGATCAAAGGGTCTCCACTGTCTCCAGAATATGGTCCTGCATCCTTTTTTATTGCACACGCTTGGCCTTGACGCAGTCCACGGCTTTCACAGTACGTAGAGTTTTTCTTTTCTACTCCGCCTAAGTAGTGGAGTTTTGCGGTAGGGGTTCTGATCAACCACCAATAAGCTTCGTCAGATGAATTTGGAGGTAGAGAATCACTGAATTCGTTTTCAGGAATGTTTTCGTCAGATTCTACCCCGTAGCAAACTGTCACGCCCCATCCCCATTACCAAGCATTTTTTTGGGTATTTAATTCCTAAGCCTTGCCTTGGAAACCGCATTGGAGCCACATCCTCGTTAAATTTGATTTCCTGCATCAACAAAGCATGGATTACCTTCGTGCAGCAATTAACACTTGCATTTACATTCTGCGAATTGCTGACTAAAGATTTCAATAATGTACGATACAAGCCTGTCGTCGACAGGCTTGTATCGTACACTATTGAGCATGTAAATTTTACAGGTAGAGCGATATCAGCGCGAAGTTGGCGCTATAATGTTGGCCACTACAATACGTTTACAGCAACGCCTAAATCCGCTCCGCCGATAGATTGTCCCATATAGTGAACCGACCGTGTTCTAGCCACCTTCCGCTAGGGCCGGCTAGGCAATTACTGTAGAGTAACCCTGCACTTAACAGCTTTTTCGTACGATATGAGCTGTACGGCACTGTAGTACTAAGAAACGTTCAGCTGGCTCAGAGCCGACTGCACTGCACTCACATGTGCTGTAGTCTCAGGCAGCACATGTGAATGGTGAATGTGCTCGGACAGCGTACGTCTCTCTGAGCTGTAAAAAAAATTGTCAAGTGCAGGGTTACTCTACAGTACTCTGGCCGCTAGATGAAGTCGCTCCACACAGTTGGTTTACGAGAAATTACCTTGCAAAAGCGTATATTGCGTGTGCATTTGTGAATACGAGCAGAACACACATTTGCAGGTGCTACTTTCCCGTACACCAATTCTGTGGAGTTACTACATCTGGCGGCTACAGTATAATTAAACTCATTAACATATCTGGCGTGCGCAAAGCCACCAGCCAGCCAAATGCATGCATGTTACATTAAACTGTGTGGCGCGCTGCAATAAATGGATTTATGTGTAACCCGTAAATTTCTAAGGTTCGCTGTATTTGCGAATGCTCAGTTTGTCGACAGGATGGTATGCACAACGGTAATGCTAAGTAATGAAATTAAATTTGCTGTTGTCGATAGTAGTAGTGGTAGTGGAAATGCTGCTAGGGGGCATAATATTATGTGAGATTTATCGGATCATCAGTATCCTAACCGCTCCCACTAGTACCAGTAGCATTTCCCTATGTGCAATAATAAAAACGATGACGATCCATAAACGATGACGAAAATTTTGCGTGGTAGTGTGGTACCCGTTTCGTAATCTGTGGTCAGTAATGTTGAAACCATCTGATGTTTCTGCTTACTTACTTTTCTCGTCTTCAGCAGGCAGATGTCGTACACTCTATTAGGTTTTATGGTGACAGGGTCTTTGTAAAGTGGATGCTGCAGCACATTTTCCAGTTTCATTATGTGTGCTCTTGGGTAGCTGTTTCTTTTCAGATTCCAGGCACCCACTAAAATGCTGCACCAGGACATGCCATGTTCGGGTGGCAAACATTTGGTACAGCAGTGGGCGGCAGTGACTATCCACCAGGGAGTAATCTACAAATAACAAATTTTCCGGTAGGGAAAGGTAGTGTTTTTCCGCTAAAGACAGGCTTGGCCGCACCATCCATCACCTTTCGTTGACCAGAAATCTCGAATTACATCTCAGTTACAGTACATAAATATTATTGCTCACAATGTATCCAGCGCACGCGTAATTCTTCCAACCAGTGACATTGCTGTACAATACAGCTGCCATATAGGGATTTTGGTGGATTTCTGCTTCCGTTCCATTGTATATCGAAAAGGCACTTGGGAAAAACGCCAAACGAAAAACAATAATTAGGAAGCAATTTTGCAGCTTGGTCATAATGCGGAGGTGCAAACGTTTCAGCAAAGGACAATATGCCGTTCCCACTTTCGAACCTTTTAACTGTAATCAACCGTTTCAGCAACAGAATTCAGAGGCAAATATATTGCATGCAGCGAGAATAGAAACTCCCCATTATACGTGTTGGCACTGTTTATCGCTGCTGCGAACAATGAACCCAAATGAAAACACTTGTAAAATGTATTTATCGGTCTGGTTTCGAGCTGTAAAATAAACGTGTGAACTGTACGTGCTTTCAAATTTTAGCGATTGAGAAGAAATCGTAAATAATAAAAGCGAGCAAAAGCCCATACATCGGCAGGTGATCTCCCCAATTTATACTTGTAGTTGTTGGCATTGTTTATCGCTTCTGCGAACAATGAACCCAGACGAAATCGCTTATGATATTTATCGGTCTGGCTTTGAGCTGTAAAATGAGCGTATAAAGTAACCGTACGCCTGTACGTGTTTTCAAACATTAGCGATCGAGAATAAATCATAAATAATAAAGGCCTGCAAAAGACTGTACACAGTAAATAAGTCAGGTGATCATAAATTATAATGTTTAAACTTTGACCGTCTGATGTAAATGTCATTTGCATGCAACTTATTGCTACCTTCTGCAATTATTTAATAATCAATACCTTATTACATTTCCGACGGATTGAAAACCGATCATGTGATGTCACACGTTCGAGCCAATTGTCGAACCTGATACCCGTTAAGCCCGTTAAGGACAAACGCTGGGCCAATGGTTAACAATTTAGTCGTCGAAAGCACAAAAGCTTCGTCCGTATTGATTAGAAACGCTTTTGTGCACTAGATTTGGCATTTTTAGTACATATCTGTCACGAGTACGACTGACAGAAGTGCATTTTGTATGGACAGTCATACTGTGATGTTGTTTGCAATGGCCAGAAAGTATCATTTAATTATTAATGCGTTAAATGTACTTTGATCTCATAAAACAATCAATAAAATGTTGACCGACAGTTTGTCTGTGAGTGCTTTTGAGTTGAAGGCGTGTTCCTTCATCGTTCATATTTTTGCAACAGAAATCACTGTTGAGTGCCTGAAAGGGAAGAATACCTTGTAAATGAATTAATTAGTATCAGCTTGCATGGCTAGCAGCCCTGGAATATCTTGTCTGGAAAGTGTTCTCTAGAAAATCTTCTTAGCTGGACATGGGTGCCCTTAGTTAGCTTGAACGAGTTTACATAAAGATCAACATAGCTGAACGATTGGGTTAGCGTCGTATGTGACCGGCAAAAATGTCCCCCCTGTCCCCCCGGACATTTTTTTCGTGTCCCCCCTGCCACCATCACCAAAATGGTAACCCTTTAGCCATAATGGTGACATGGGGGACCTTTTACGGAAACCTGATTTTCAGGTCAATCGGTCACCTTAGAAAAACAGCCACCAGCGCTACCAAAGCGTTACCAGTCAAAAATAACAGCGAAAGTTGTTTACTGAAAGGATATCATTGCGGCAATGAAACTTGTCGTGTCCGGCTTGGGTGACATTATTGCCGGAGTGAATTACTCGGTGTCCGGTATGGGAACATATTATAGACTCTTTCTGTTATGATTAATAAACGTTTTCATTTGATTGGTTAACTCATAAATGTTTATTGATTTGTATTCTGTAGTCGTTTTCAAATGAATTCCGGCACACTAGTGAGTGCACTTGGCAGGCACTAGTCAGCACAGAATACATTATGCTATACATTAATTGTAAATCTAAATTAAAGAGTACTGCACATTGGAATATAAATCATATTATGAACAGTCTCTACGGAATACAAGAGATTGTCACTTGAAGCCAAATTAGCTGAAAATCGTATATTTTTATTAGGCTCTGAAAAAATTACAATCACAAACAGTACAACAAAGTTTCCATGTGCAGTGTCCTGTTGTTGTTATGGCCTACATATTCCTAGTTGCGTGGAAGCTTGATGCACCTCTATTCAAGCTGGAATGGGATAGATGCACACAATAGTGTCTCTGTTATGTCTTCCGGTACAACAATGGCCCGGCAGGATGGTTTATGCAGTCCGGAAGAAAAGTTTACGCATCAAAGGTGCCGCCGGCAGAAAGTTTTGCTCGATCCAGCGGAAGGTTTACGGAGCATAAACCTTTCTGCCGGATTTCAGCGGAAAGGTTTATGCGGCTCCCTTTATTGTACAGCATTACATTAACCCGTAAAATTTCTTCCGGTTGTAAGCGCGTATCCGAAGCCCCTTGTAATAACCGGCACAAAAGTAAGGGAAAGCCGTAGCCGAGCACGTTATGTTTCATCTTCGTGGTAAATTTTCGGAAAAGAAAACAGTAAAAAAAGATCAAACATAATGATGTTGCTCAACAAAGTCTTTTAGTTCGCGCGTTTTTTCCAGGCCTGCTAGGAAATTCGCGAATTTTTCAGTAATACAGTTAGATTGCAAATTAGTCGTTGGGTGTTTCGCCTCGAAACTGCTTAAAAATATGATGATTCATGGATTTTTGTTCGTTATAGTGCGCCCCTCAATAGCCGCTGCAAAGGACAATAGAAGCCCTCTCCGTAAATGAAGCCCCCCCCCCTTAAGGTGGTTCGAAAATTATAAGCTCCTCGAAATAGAAGCCCTGGGCTTTAATAAAATGCACGAAAAAATGAAATTCCTGAGCACCGGAAGGTCCGGTACCTACCCGTAAAGACACTTAAGTGGGCCACTATGATAAGTGAATGGGCAACATACAGAGTAGACGACTGAAAAACCTGTTACCAGCCTCGCATGGCGGACACATTCAGTTTTTTTCCGAATTTTGATGAAGAAGTCTTCGCAGAATTGCTGCGGAAGACTGAAGTTAAAACAATGTGGTGTAGAACTATCGTCAGACAAATTCACGAGCAATCTGTAGGGCACATGCGAAGAAATACGGTATGTCTTCACTAAAATACGGAAATGCGGAAATCACTAAAGAAAGCGGTTGTTTTAATAAACACAGCCGCATACTGCAGACGCATCTGCAGCCGCACAAGTGCGGTAGTTGTATGGATATTATTGCGTAGTTCAGTGGCTTCGGTGGAGTGGCTTACCTGTTTCGTCACTGTTTTTTTACAACTCAAATAACTAAAAAACGGTTCAACATTTTTCAAAACTTTCAAGTACTCTAAAAAGAGCAGGATCTCGTGAAACTGCCAAATCAAAAAACAGGATTAAAAAGGGTTGGGAGAGAAATAACTGAAGGTGGGCCACTTAAGTGTATGGTGCCCATTCACTTATCAGGTGGCCCATTTAAGTGTCTTTACGAATAGCATTTGTCATGTACATAATTTTTACGCCCTTGCCAATAAAACACATTGAAATATAATATCTCCTCGGGGCGTTCCAGCTTTTGAAGACCAGGGCTTATAATTCGATTTTTACGGTAAAGGTCTTCGCGAAGGGAAGATAGAATTGTACCATGTTTTTGAAATAATTTGTCGGTAAATTGACAGGTTCAATAGTAACACGATGTACTCTTATATGTAGTATGGCCAGTGCATAATTCCGGTCAGTTTCAATTCTCTGTTCTCTGCTACTGTGCCATTAAACAGATCTTCCAAAGCCGGTTAACCGGAGCTCCAATAATTCCTGTGCTGGTCGCTTTGCAGTCATCAGCCAACTTTCGGCTGACTTTACGACGATCCATCGATCGATCGATTGCTGCACAGCACTCTTCTGCATCCTTCTCCCTGCACACGTGGTCAACAAGCTGATTTTCAGGAGGCGGATAATGTAGGGCACCGTCCACAAATTCTGTATGTACATAGAATCGATCCACATCAACTCTCACGGTTATACACTATCCCACACTTCGCCGCATTGATTCATGGAATTTAAACACAATATTTCCCCTTTACAATACCGTCAAAACGACAACGTCGAACGTCCGTTTATGTAAAGAATTCTAGCAAAAGCAGCTTTGATTAATGCTTTTACAAATCTTTTAGTAGTGAGAACATACTCGTAATTATTCGACAGTGCAGGTTTGTTCTAATTTTACTGCGCGTACTTTTTCCATACTGCGATGTTCTGTTGTTGGCAAACTCCCGAGGCCGAATGCCCTCTCGACCGCGAGCGCCAGTACCCTTGGGACCACCATTACAGTCCATACCGTAAAGACTACGCGAAACTGGCGCATAACTTATATACGAAATATTTGGCCCGGCACAGTGGCTTCAGTCGGAATACGGTGGTATCCCCGTTGTGCGCTGAAATAGCGCTGCTCATGCTGCATGCCGGCGCTGACGATAAGGCAAAAAAGGAGATTGCCGAATTGTTGGGTGTGGATCCGCTGGACCTCACGGAGAGACTGTGCTCTGACCAATCCAATCTGAAGATGACAGAAGACGAGGACTGCGATCCTGATCACCCTTATGGTATTGGTTTTATAGTTATAGATGCTCCTGCAGCATCACTTCACAGGATTTCTTTCTTTCTTGGGTTTGCTAAGATTAAAAAGCGAAGTTTTTTGTAGACATGTATCAGCCTGTCGACAAGTTAATCAAATGTAAATATCTTGAGTACCACTCCATAAAATGTATAATACAAAGACATACAAGCATTTTTACCAATACGCGCCGCGCGTTACAAACACTTGGCATGGCTGTTGTCTAAAGAGAGCAAAACATTCGAATACGCCCGTATTTTTTAAACAAGAATACCCGTAATCCCCAGGTGACTGGACAAGAGCCGGTGCAGTAATGAACGATCTAACTGCGCAGAGGAATTTGCTTTGGGCGACCAGTTGGCCATCACAGTGAGCGCCAGCATCGCGTAATTATGACTGTATCTAAGTTCCTTTATTTGCTGATTTGTTGACTAACTTTTTTTGCTGCTATTCACCGCTGGCGCTGTAGTACCGGCACACTTCCGGAAAACGATTTTCTGTTTGGCTTTAATTTGGGATATTTTAGGAAAAAATGAAAACTTCCGTCTGTATTTGGCCAACGCGATACTGTTGTCGGAAGGTACTGACTGCGCCCAGGAGTTCGAGAAATTAAATATTAACTCGGATTTGCTGCCGCTGACGGTCACTACCGACAAGGAAAGCGTTACAGCGTTCATACGCGAACACACACTGGGACATGCCCACGACGTAGGACTGTCGCGTTGCGCACCGCAATATCCAACACTGATCAGCACACTGCATCTCCGCTCCAACTGGTACCGGCCCTTCAAGGGCGAGCGCACCTTTAAGATGCAGTTTGTCACTCCCGACGGTCGTCGCGTGGAAGTCGACGCGATACACGGGATTCGCAAAATCCCCTGCTGGGTACCCGAGGGGATGGGCGGAGCCAAATTCTTGCAAATGCTTTTTGAAGAAGATGGTAGTTGGAGCGCACTGTTCGTAATGCCGGGAGCCGCGCGGCAGACGTGGCGCGGCCCGACAAAACCGCAGACAATGAGCGAACTGATTAATCTTCTGACACCAGCGAGACTGGCTGGGGCTATTCGGCAAATGCTCTTCCACAAAGTCAACGAAGTGACGGTACAGATACCGAAATTTTTTGTGGAGCGGAATGTGGAAATGCAGGATATTTTGTGCGAAATGGGAGTGCGGACGCCGCTGAAATGCGGCTCTGATCAACCGGGTTCCAACGTAAACAGTATAATGCAGCACATTAGATTCGGTATGGACACTGCTCAGAACCGAAATGCCGGTTCTTTCAATCAGCGTTCTAAGCAATAAAATAAGATTGCATGGAATCAATGCTCTAAGAAACTTATGGAACATAAGAGCCTGTTTTACTGTTCTGAGAAATCAAGCAAACCTAAAATTTTCTGGCAAGTATTTAAATTCGTTTTCCAGGCATAGATGAACGCGGAGTAGGCAACGCGTTGCCCGAAAAAACTACTCGACCGATCCTGGATACCATGGAAATTTGCGCCGTTTGGCACGCCGAGTTCGTTGCCAATAATCCGTTCATCTTCCTGGTTTATCACCACTTCACCGGCCATATCGCCTACATGGGACATATTGCCGATCCGGCAGCCATTTAGTGCTGAAAGCGTTAATTAATAATACTAATCAATTATTCAATTAATTACATCAACTAATCGATTAGTCAGCAATATCTTCAGGTTTATTAGTTTTTGCGCGGGTATTGTGTTAATGACAATGCTGTGACGCATTCTATCGTTTCCCTTTCTTTATTTTTCACTTCGAATTCGAGAATCACTTGTCGATTTTTGGACAATTTCTGCATGATTTTCAAGATAAGTAAATAATTGCAGTTTTCCCTAACTTTCTCCGAAACTTTAATTGTAACGATTATTTATTCAACAACAATCATATTTTCCAGGAAAATTTTCGGTCAATGACCGAAAATTTTCCTGGAAAATATGATAAAGTGGACATCCACAGAATCCACAGACATCCACAGAATGTAGCAATGTTTCCAAATTCTCCACAATCGCAGTGCACAAATCTATCAGAACTATTTCGATGCTAAATTATTGCTGGTTAATTATACAAAAAATGTTCCACAATTACAGAATACATGTAATTTAACACAACATTTGAATAGTTTTCGAAATTACAACGCGTAATGATTTAAGAAACAACTGGGCAATTTTTTTTTCCATAAAACGTTTGATAATTCGGACAGTATTCGGATAATCGCCGTGATTTTTGGGAATAAACACCCGACGGATTACAGTGATTAATAATTTGGCGAGAACCGCGAAACAACGACGACGAGTTTAACACTAATGGTTTACTGAAAGTTTTACTCTCGTGTGTATGTTGTTTATTCTAGTTTTTATTACGATTTTGTCGTGATAACGTACCAGCCCGCGGGCGCAGAAATGCATTCTCTGCTTTAAAGAAAATTTCGCGCTAAATTACTCCGTTTATTGGCAAAAGCTTTCAAGACATTTCTCGCTTTTAGTTATTCATCGTATTTGCGTCAAGCTTTGAAAGAAATTTTAAAAAGGCTATTAGAGGTACGGGGACACAAGTGCAATCATGGGATTTCACATTTGAAGGGTTATTCGTATCGAGTCTGCCGTAGCGGGACAATACAGCGTACTGCAGCTCTTGATTTTTGTCATTTCTTGAACCAACGCTGTAACTTTCTCGCATTTAATTGCGTAAATGTCCTCGCTTTACAAACAACTTGAACAAAAAAAAAACAAAAAACTTGAACACTTTTAATTTCTGTGCGTTAAGAGTACGTAACGCAGATCGTTCAGTGCGCATACTTCGCTTCGTCCATTATTTTAATCAGTACCACTTTAGGGATCAATATATTAATCACTTTTACTGCATAGATGCAGGCCCGTAGCGAGACCCCAGTGCAGTTTTCAAAACACTACTCCTCCTACAGTTTCCATCCGATATTTTTTCCGAATACACCATTGAACTCAGCGTAAAATTCTGAACAAGATGATTGCGGCCGATTTTTGAAATTCGTTTCCTCCCCCCCCCCAAAAGTTGACATCACCGGGCGGTCGCCAATGCGACAGCCTATATTTTGGGGTTTCCCCCCTGACCACCCCAAACGAATAAGAGTGTCGAGTTTACTTGTTTACGGAAGAAAAAATACAGTTTTTAACATCAAATGGTTTTGGGGCGTTTGGCGCAGTCAGGGGGAAAACCCCCGAAAATATGTTGTTGCATGTCTGACCGCCCCTGGTAGTCGGATTTGGGAAGAATCGAATTTCGAAATTCGGTTCCAATCATTTTGTTCAGAATTTTACGCAGAGTTCAATGGTGTATTCAGAAAGGATATCGGATGGAAACTGTAGGAGGAGTAGTGTTTCGAAAACTGCACTGGGGTCTCGCTACGGGCCTGCATAGATGCAGTGCTGGTCTTGCTGCATAGATTGCATCACTGATAAACTGCATAGGCTGCATGGACTGAATGGTAATGCATAGACTGCATTTGAGTCAGCCGTGGTTGTTTATGTAGCCGCCCGCCACAGAGGCTGTCAATTCATTAAAGTGATTAATATATTGATCCCTAAAGCGGTACTGATTAAAATAATGGGCAAAGCGAAGTATACATCCCATGCATTCGAATAATGCACATGAGTGGTTTATAAAGATTTAAAATAAATTTTAAAATCGGGATTCCATGTCGGTCATTGGTGGGCACCATTATGATAAAGGGCTGTTATTCTGGAAATGGTAGGATAAAGGACGAGAAAATCATCCAGAGAGAAATTCAAGCCGAGGGATCTTTACAACTGGTCACTCGTATGCATTTCGCAGATGCTTGCATTTGCATCAAAGGTCATGCATTATTAACGTAAAATATTGATATAAAAAATGGGCTACTTTCTAATGGCCCGAAACAAAACAGCATCCAGTAACAGCCGATAGCGTCACAGCGGTTAAACTGTGGTGACATGCTAGCGTCACTTCCGTTACGGGTAAAAATCAAGAGCTGCAGCACCACTTTAAACCGGCTGTTTCACGCCAGCCAATAATGATAATACAGGCAGTTAGGCACTGACTGTGGTGACGTCATAGCGGTCAGCTGAGCGATGTCAGACTGTTACTTCCGTAACCAACTTCCGTATCAAACCTTCGTAACGAGTTTCCGTCGCGGGCAGAATTCAACCAATGCATAGGTCTTGCATATAAAGTACCTCCGCTACGCTCTGTTCGATAAGTCTGGAAATGTCATAAGCAATGCCGATTGCGGCCGGGATGGAACTGGTTCTTACGTTTTCAATCTAGCTAATTCACAAATGATATAATATCTGTACAATAATTATCAGCGTTGTCGCGGGAGAGCGTTTACTGTGACTGTGCAGGTACCGGCACTGGTACTGGTGACTGAATAACGCGTTTAATATGAATATAATCATGCACTTAGCAGCTCATATCATTGTTCGTTGTTTTATTAGTTATTAAAAGATAAATTTATTATTACTATCTTTAATTAACTAATACCATCTTAGCTAATATTATATTATTAGTACTATCTTTTATTAATTAATTTATTAATTAATAAAAGATAAAAGAAGGAGTGTACCTCACAGGATGCCCACGCTGGCACAGTCCCTCTTGACCTTGTCCAGGAAATGTTATCTACGCAGTACGCACTAGCTTCTAAATGTGCTACGCGTAGTTTTGGCCAGTTAATGCGAGCCATACCTTCGACGCACAAAAAACGCGTGCAGTGGAGCTAAAATCGATATTTCCACTGATATACCAGCTGTTTTCGTATGCCGCTGCAGTATGCGCCATAACAAGTTTTCCCATAATAACACGCAGAGCTTGAATGTCTACCCAATTCAACGTTTGGTCATTTACTAAACTAAACAGTAAACTACCACACATAGGATTTGGTAGAAATCATCCGTACACTACGAGTCGCCGGTGGTATCCAACAGTGCTTCGTGCACATACATGTGCTAATGTGAATATATGGACAAATTTTCCAACGACGTCCGGCATATTGCGTAGCTGATGCGTCCGCCATATTGCGTAGCTGCTGACTGAGCCCGAGGAACTTACAGTTATTACTGATATCGAGTTAGTTCCTGGCACTGTTTCGACGAGCGGAGGAATAAACACCATGTCGACCACTTCAGCTTGCTCTGATCACATAGATCAGTTCCAACGCCTCTCTGAGCGATTCCCGTTCCAGCTTATCTTCAAGGCATTTTTTCCATTGTTACAATGACACGCGCTGCAACATTTATTCCGGGTGATTTTGGAAACTACGGTATAATGTGCCAGCAGAATCGTTGGTATGAGTAAGTTGTTCAGATTGACTAACCGGTTTATAAAATTTAATCGTGGTGAGAAAGCATCGGTAAATCGCTTGCTCGGCGGCGGTGTCTACAGTACTGGCCGTGCGTAGGAGCTGAAGTCAGTCTAAGTAGCTGCGGTCTTTTTAGGCCGGGTGATGCGGAACACGCCAAACGAAGTCAGTGCAATACTTGACGTATTTCAGGTATTGCTATTACAACACGGAAGTGCAGTAATACATCTTTGTCCTCGCCGTGCAAGCTTGGCCTTGCACTGTGTTCTCAAGAACCGGTTGCTGCGCGCGGAAGCTTGCAGAATGAAATAAATAAATATTTATTCATTCCCTGACGCGCGTGTGATCGGTTAACTGACGTATGTTAGCAGTTGCTGTAGTCAGTATCAAGCAGTTAACCAAGTGAACGCGGATGTACATAGTGTTAAAGATACCGGAAATGGCGTAAATATAAATATCTTTGGAATGAGCATGCCGATCAAGAGCTGGTAACGACCTTGTAATAGACCTGTAAAATGACGTAATATGTAATAAATTCAGCAAAATCCAGAATTTGCCAAATGCGCAGACCGAGCGCTCACTTCCTCTGGACAAGGCACTGGTCACTCATTTTGTACAAGCTTGTCGACAAATTATGGGCGCATAAAGACAGCGAGAAATGCACAGTTGTAAACTACGCCAAAATCCATACAACGGCGCGCCATGCCACATTTTTTACGCATTACTTGAATGAGGCATAGTTGGTGTACGTCAAATATCGTTTTATCCACATTCGCCAACTTTCTTTTGCTGTTATTAATCTTAATATACTTCCTGCGGAAAATAGAATATTACTGCATCTGTTCCTTGAATTTATTATTATTGCGATGACTGTATTGTAGCGGCCATAGTTGATCGTTCAGTATTGCGCGTAATGTGCACTGCTTGTGCGTTCCTCGATGAGCTTGTACGTTCAAACGATAGTGAACTCCAGTATATCACACCACAGAAAATACTCCTGTTTCGCTATTCGTTGTTGGCATCAAAGAGAACAGGAATATTAGTGCATGCGTTATCGGTTGCACCAATGTCGTGGCTCTTCGCTATGGCTCTGCGATCCCGAGATAACATGATAATTAGATAATAGTGTAAGATAATATGATAATGTATAATATTTTGTTGCCAGTATTTGAACAGCATTTTTTTCTGAATTTTAAAATTTTCTCCAGCAACGGATAGTCAGCACCACTACTGTATCTGTCGCATAAGGGTCTCCAGCCACTAACTAAAGAAGCAAAAGTGGCATTTATTGTCCCAACTCGACAAAAGTGACCAATCTTATGTAATGCAGCATTGTGCTCACAATTGCCAAGGACTCTAAAAATCACTGGATTTAAGCTGACCTTATGAGAGAATATTCATGGCCTCTTGAACCGGGGAGCCGGTGGTCATACATCTCGACAACTAACACCGCACTGTTTTTAGCAACCACTTTTGTTAGCAACTGATGTCATCTGGGCAAGGAATCTGGCGAAGATGATTCAGCAGTTCATAATATAGGATGCCGCTTGCAAGTGGCAACTGCAGAGTGCAGACTCATACTGTGTGCCTGGGTCGCCCATAGAGTGAAGCAGTCAAGTATATGGTTTTGGCGAGGAATTAATACGGAGTAGCATCTCGTTGTGCTCTGCGCGAACAATGAAATGAATGATACAATTAAACGGGCCTGTATAGTAAAGCCTCTTAGTGCAAGAGCGCAAACCCGATAACTTATCCAGCATAAATGGCATGCATTGTAAGTCGCAGTGAAAAGTAATCTTTGCTTAACACATGTCACATTGTGCATGTTTTATATTAAAAGATGCCCAGACATATGTGTAAAGTGATAATCATTCTCCACTTTTCAACATTATTCTCCACTTTTCTTTTTTTTTGATTGGCGTAATGCTTCAGGACTGTGACATTTATTTTAGACTTGTAGAATAGCAATGGATTATGGGAGGGTCCTTCTTTTTACCCTGAGAGTGGGATTCTTCTACTTCCTTAAGAGTTCATCGGCCCAATATCAGTGTAAGTTAGAACTTTAAAGGGTTGATTTACTGAACTTTTAAACTTATTACCGATTGATCACTCGGCTTATTTGTTTAGCGAGTTTTAAAAATATTTTGCTGTTACTTGTAGCTTTTAATTTGGAGAACAAATGCAACGGCAGTTTGACACTATATTGTCCAGAGTACTTCGATGGCCGACCGGGCACATTCCGCTATACCTATATCAGCAGGATGCCACGGGGACTGTGTTATTTCGACGTTACACTGGATTCCTTTTGTCTAGATCGGGGAGTTTTGTTTGCATTTTATTTCAACATCAGGTACCAGAAGATATTCGACCCATCTTAGTAAATTATGATCGAGTATCAAGTTGTAACCCACAGTTTGCTGACGTTGTTTAGAAGCTTGAACCTTCCTTCTGGTGACTATCTCCAAATCTACGACAAAACTATACCGCGTTTCCCTCTAAAACACTTAACCGGAAACCAGACCGCACTTTTCAACCCTGCATCGGTGGCGCAAGCACTGACATCGTACACGAGGAAGCCATCCATAGCACTGGAGTACTATCGCAGCTTATCATCCGCTACCAGTGCCCATAATGCGCTTGTCGATTTCGTTATCCTTGAAGGTATAGAAAGACAATTGTAAATCGGTATTACCATGAAAGACAGTGAGTCAGCAGCTGCTGTGCAACGCTGTATCCTTACAGTGCTTCAGTAAGTTGCTGTTTCGTATATGAATATCTTTTCTAGATACCGCCTCAGCAATGAATGCCCACTGTGCAGCGTTATCGGGATACGTGGATACATTCTATCTTTGTCACACTTTCGGATCCGTGGATCGTGTGAACTGCCCATCCAATTTTGTTCCCTCGGTGACGGGACTCAATCCAGCTTACGGACGCCAATGCGACAACCAGTCCACGACTTCATGGAACTGGGATTCGACCTCCACACCACTAGCAGGAACTTGGAATACGACCCTTACTCAACCGCCTGTTACTGCCGTTCCCGTGAACACAACCACCTTTCGGCCGCCGATCACTGCCGCTCCAGTTGAAGTTCCATTTTATCTTCTGAATCCGTTGAATATTACGTGTCGCCTCGGACGAGTGAATCTCCCGACACTTGATTTGGATCTGGAGGACGCAATGACTACCGTGTTTGACGGCGACAACACCCTCAACTGCCGTGTAATACTCCACGATCTGCATTCGTGGATTGTGGCGAAAGCCGGTGAAGCCCGACAGAAGCGAGCGTCGTTTTACGAGCCGATTAGAGTGGAGTGTTCCCGGGGACATTTGACCGTGTCCAGTGTGGACCCCGGCACAGCAGAGTCAACGGGGATGATCTTCCGCACCGGTGCATCCAAGAAGTGTATGGACACATACAGAGAATTTTTGGATTATGTAACGGGCTTTGCGGGAAATTATGACATATAGTCTAGTGGGATTCCTGGATTGTAGTGGTTTTCTGTGATACCGTACTGCTCCCCAAATATTAAGTGGCTGGGAAATTCGATGATAAATATTAACTTTCTCATATTACTCTTCCAAGACGCAAACTGTAAATTTAAAACTGGCGACTATTTTACTTTGCCACAGGCTTTACAGTATGTATACGATTCAATGACGTGAGTTACAATATTGTTTACGGGCTTGAAATGGTGTTTCCTTCTTGCAAGAAGGGTGCGCTTGGGTTTAAACTCTGATAAAGTCCAAGCACTGCCTACTTTGAAGTATAGAAATGGTATAATAAATTTTTATTGAACGAATACAACGCACAAAATCAGTCCTGAAAATAACCATTGCATAGCGTTAGCACACAGCAAGTAAAAATTGCTTTATTGATAGAGCATTGAACCAAGCTGAAGCAATCGGCATTCGTATTAAGTATAGTGGTGTTCTGTCGTAATTTGGTCGATAGCCGTTAGATTCATTCCGTTAAAATCCGCCACGCTCCAGGTGTTGCCATCGCGATTTGGGACATAATATATCGCAATTTTAATTCAAACCCAACGAGTACATGGTTTAAGAAACAGCTAGTAAACAAGAGCTCATTAAACATTTCCGCTCTGCGGTGCCCAAAACAGAGGCGGTGTTGACATAATACCTTGCCCACAAATTCTTTCCGCGAAGGACTGCGACAACAGAAAGAGAGTCGGCCAATTTCTGGCCCTGGCGACGCTTGCGGTTTAACCAATCGCATACGCTGATACGGTACGTCCCGGGCAGTTGCTTCGTGATGACGGTACTGTCGGCAAAAGCTCCAGCGTAGTCGTTATAAATCAGTTTACAATTAGCCCTTGTTTTCTGCAGTGCATCCGTGGCACACTCTGTCCGTCCGATATTTCAGCAGCCAGGAACTGACTTGGAAACGTAAAGATCGCGACAAAAAGACCTTCTTTTCCATTTCGATCTGGCCTGATGAGAACAGCGTTGAGGCTAATCAAGCAAGTGACACTGTCTCGCACTAATAATGACTGTCGGTATGGTTGTGATTTTCGCTTTAGACGATTTAGAGTAATACTATTCTTTTTGTTGTTTGGCTTTGTGTCTTGTGCATGACGCGCTGTATGCCCGTTTAAGCTAGGGTAACTCTGCGATATATTGCATCAGGCAAAGTGTACGTATTTCTGCTGTTTAACGGAGGGTGGTGACTTGACTAGCCGTACCACATTGGATGTTCTTCGTGAATAATAATATTATGTGCTATTGCCGAATTGTACCCGGCTTGGGGGTCGGCCAACTTTGCCTTTGCCGTCCATTTGCCTTTGCCGCTTCAGTTTGCCGTTTTCAACTTTACCTTTACCTTTGCCGTCGGAAAAGCCGTTAGGGTTCCAATTTGCCGTTTCAGAACGCTGTCTGTAAAAGCCTTTGCCGTTTGAAAAACGAATTACCGTTAGCACATTGCCATTTCTTAACTTTTTTTGTGCGTTTCCGGTTTCACGGTTTTCCAAAATTATTCTAGGTATCTACGTTATGTGCACAGTCCGCGAAAGCTTTAAAGCTTTCGGTATTTTGTTTCTGTATACACCGCCATAATTAAGTTTCAAGAACAATGGTATAACAATGGTAGAACAATGGTGCAACAATGGTATAACATTGTACTGTACCAATACATACAGCATAATCATTACCGTAGTCCAGAAAATGATTAAGTTAATGTTATCAGCACACCAGCAAGGTTATCCACACACTTCTAAGTTTACAACGTTAGATTGAAAAATAATGATTTTCGTGAATCGGCGCAGATGATTAAGCTGATTACCTTACAGCAGCAAACGGACCCCCGCTGAGCGCCGACTGCAGTTGACCACTGCAGTTTGGGCGTCCAGCGGGTAACTAACGGATAACTGCAGTTAGTAAGTCCAGGGAACACTGCAAGACGTAACTGTGCACGCTACAATGCAACAGCATTTGAACCGTATTTCACCGTTATAGTTTGTTAGTAGATCAAAAATAGAATTTTTATTTTAATTTAACAAATAATTAAATTAAATTAGGAAAATATATTTTCGATTAAATTAATTATTAAATAATAATAAAATTAAATTATTTAATTAATTAATAATTAATTAAATTAATTTGATTAATTAATGGAATTAACTTGATCAACAAAATAATTCAAACTGACATATTTAAAAAAAATATTTGTTTTCAATAAGAGATATTGAGAAAAGATAATTATCAATGGCGTATATTTAATAAGTACAAAAAAGTTCATTCATCATACGTGTAGCTAAGAATAAAATAATCCGGTTATGCAATTGGAAACAAATGCTTCAGTGACAATGCAATAAACCGCTAATAATTTGCCAGCTCATCGATATACGACGCAATAAATGAAGAGATCACTGAACTGAAAAGCCGCCCTAGCTGCGGGTTTCATAATATGGTATGTCACTTGCAAGGCTGTCCACTGGTCCAGTTTTATCTGAAAATTTAACATAACAAATGGTTTTAAATATTATCTTTCACGCACCAGACTGAATGATGGAAAAATATTTAACAAAATTACGTACCTGCTGATAACACATTTGCAGCGATTATTGATATTTTGGCTTTTCACTTCATCTAAAAACTGCTTTTCTTTCTGCTGTCTAACGTAGGCTGTTCGATGAATCGATCTGATAGCAACTTCCCGCTAACTTGCATCCGTTTACTGTAGAGTTGCAGATGATATTTACTTGCAACCTAAACACTGTCGATTATCCGAAACATCATTTCAACGTAATATTTTCCATTATCCATATTTCGAAACAGTTTATCTAGTTTAACTTACATGCGCAACAGGCCACACTCATTGTCAGTGTGCTCGGTAAAGTAGCACGTGAATCTGGACATGGACTCTGATTTATCGAACAGCGGTTCGAAGTTTTACTAGCGCACAGCGTAATGCTCGTCAGTAAGGATAGACATATAATCTCGCATGAATACACCATTCCTTAACTGGCGTTCCTTATTGTTGGCGAAGAAGAACTTCTTTGGCTCCCTGGTTTGTCCTCACAAGGTTGGCCGTTTTTTGTCTTCAGCTTTCTGTTGTAATTTCGGATCTGGTCTGTCCAATGACGCCCGGTTGGAACTATTTGGGGTGGAACAAGTTACTGTAGTTTGACCATGATAGCTTGACGACTTTTTTGCATCAATTTGGGACACTTAAACATGTTCTCCAGTTTTACAACAGCTTCACCATACAAGTACTGTTGCTGATGACAGAATTCTGCGTTTTACATTGCCTCCTCAAAGTACCTGTTGGTAGAGTCAATCAGCAGAATACCGCTTGGAATAAGGAAGCAACACACAGAAAGCTGTAAACGCATACTTACTGTAGTGTAAGTTCAACCAAACTCATGTTAGAAAATAATCCCACTTATATCTTCAGGTAGCGTTTATACAAACAAACTCAAGGTGCACAATATCTTGAAAACCTATTTTAACACATCTTGCGTTCGACTATTTTTTTGTCTGTGTTAAGACAGTTTTGCCTCAAGAAAAAACAACCTGGTCTGAATGAAAAACTAAATCGATTCAGCTGTGCGCTTATATAGGTTGCTGCTTAGCAAGACTGGTACTGTGATGCTGCGACATTTCGACACTCCGCCATTCTGTCGCAACCAGAGTAACAGACTGTTAATATGTCTGGTAAATAGTAAACTCATTGGCAAGATGGACGCTTGTGCAATTGTCTGAGTAGCAGAGTGTCCGGGTGTTACAGTGTCAGAATGTCGAAATTGCGCCACGTGAATAAAATCGGCTCCGACGACTCAATAAAAGCGCCATTTGAGATTTTTCAACCGAGAGCATTCTTTTTGCATGGACGTGAATGTTTAGTGCTCGTAAGTTTTGCAAACGTTGGGAAAGCGATGGTGGAGTTCGCTCCATCTTGCCGATGGAGCGAACTTCACACCGACAGACCCAAGGAAAAACACGGTGAGATGTTTAATTGATTTAAGATACGCGTTTAACTAATTTCAAGACATTTTCTATCAGATGTTTAAAGTGGAAAGGAACTTAAAGGCAACGGCACCACAGAAAGAGAATCTGACGGAGAAAGTTAACTTTATTCAATAAATACAGTCCATAATCTCAAACATTACATTTCGCCTTTGAGAAGACTCGTATATGTAGGAATATGACTGCAGCGCGTGCCCCAGCAACAAGAAGTAAAGGATATCCACAAGAAAAAAAGCCGTTTAACCAACGTCGCTCTAAGAAAACATTTTCGTGAGCTGCTAAAAAGCCTCTCTGATATCTTTCATGATTTAGCGCCTAGAATGTTGCATTTCCGTTATTAACAATTAATGCTGTGGCTTTGCTGGCATAAACATAAAAATTGTCCATTAAGAATTTTATATTGCGTGCTTTCTAAATCGTTTTTATATTTATTAACTATTTTTTCAGCAAGATAGTTTTTTGTAATCATTTAATTCTTTCAAAACTACGAATGCCGCTAGCCATCCGATCGATAGCCTGTTATACCCTTCACATAGATATGTCAATGTTTGCATTAGAAATAAATGCGTGGCAGTCGTCAGCGCACCAATGCCAGGTTGTTGTATGTGTGCATTTTGCTAAGTAATCTTTTCTGAATACTAAGCAGGTACGCTATCATGTACGCACGCTAATAAGTTCATGCCAAAGAGCGGCGGATCATCTTGACAAATTATTTTTCAACTTTTTTACTTTTACCCATCTGAACAAAAATGAAACTATTAGACCGCTTTTCTTTTGCTGAATTATCAGTTGCATTTGCTTAATATTATTACGACGATTTTAACTTTCTTGAAACAAATTCGTTAAAACGGATATTGTTTAGTTTAAGCTATGTATTTTGTAACACAGATAATTTTGTGGAAAGGATATTGTTTAGTTTAAGCTATGTATTTTGTAACACAGATAATTTTGTGGAAAGATTTTTCATCAACCAAAAAATACTTTCGATTCATTCAATGAGAATAATTCTTTTTTATTTCCACTTACTCATCTAATAATAAGAGTGTGGATTGAATGAACTCTTTGAATATCTGGTTCTCCTCTAGAGTATTTGTCCACTTACGTACATTTGAAGCACTTTTCAGGCTTTTCCTATATGATCAACATAGTGCAGCATATATGCTCTTGTCTAAAAACAAAGCTTTGTAGTTAATAATATTCTTAATGGTAATGAAGGTAACTTTATTGAAGC